TTCATTTCATTCTAATTTGTGCATGTCTTGATTTATATATATATATATATATATATTTCTAAGTTAGCACCCACTTTAATAATACTCTTTTATAATTAAAAGAAAAAATTACATTGAAAAATTATTATTAATAGTTTAATTGAAACTAATTTTGCTCCATTGTATTTATTTATTTTTTTAAAATCTTAATTTATCTAATAAGCCAAATTTCTTAAAATTTGATTTATTTATTTACCATTGTAGGTTTTTGTTGATAAATGCATTATATAATTATATTTACCGCTGTGCCAAAATAACTTTTAACCTCATAAAACTATATTAAATAATTAAATTCATTTTGCATGTAAATTATCTATCTCAAATTTTTATTTCTGTTCCTATATGCACAATATTTCTAATTAAATATTTTCATTTCATTTGTAATTCCTTTGATGAAAAAATTTAGCCCATTAGTGCTCACTGTTTCTTTTTAGAGCTGGTTTTATAAACAAGTTTTAAACTAATAGGAATTTTTTTTAACTTAAAAAATTATTTTTTAGTGTTATCTTAAATATTTGTTGTTAGGTAAATGGCTATCGAATTACCTGCTGATTGTCATATAAAAAATCATTGAATGAAAAATTGAAAAGTAAGTTAAATTGTCATTAAAGCAAAAAAGAAAAAAACATACTCAGAATCTTCTTTTGTGTTTAGACAGTAAGGAAGGTTCTTATTTATGGAACCAAAACTATAGTATGTCCATTTCTGTCCTTTAATTCGTGCTTTCTTCATTTTTTTTATTGTGCTAGTCTTATCTAGTAAAAAGAATAACTTATTTATTTTTTTTAATAAATTGTCATTATTAAAAAAATAATAATTTTATTACTATTTTCTTTACTTATACTAATTTTTTCTGCTCCTCCCTCTCTTATTTATTAGATTAATTTACATTTTCTTTGGAATCTTATTTTGATCATTTAAAAAGTATCATTTGTTGGTGTGCAAAAATTTTAATAAATTATCATTTAGACCTCATTCTGCCAAAAAATAATTCCATGCTAAAAATTATAACCAGCGGTCTTTATATGTCCTACTTGATAATGTATAAATTAACAATCTTTGTTAAATTAAATTGCAATTTAGTTTTTTGTTTCTATTACATTCTTATGCTATGTATATGTGGAAAAAAAGCTTTCTAAATTCTTTGTGCTGAACTTTTACTGACAAGTGATACACATAGAGAACTTTCGCTCAGTTGTTGACATTATTAAATACCTTTGTTAGTATTAATAGAAAAAGAAATTCAAATTTAGAACTTTTTGCTAACGTTTTTTCTTCATGAGGGTATATTTATTTTTACTTCAGACATTTTTAAAATTTTATTTTACTTTTTATTACCCCATCTTCTAGTATTTGTATTTCAAGTAAAATTTTTAGTAATTTTTAAAGAGCCTGGTACAATTGAAGCATGTGTTATTCATATTAAACATTTCCATCTTATTTTCACTGTATGACTAAATCAAGTGTAATACATCATTAACAAATCGTTAAAATTAAAAAAAGAACTTTTCTTAACTAAATAACTGTTTTGCATTAGCTTAATTAAATAATATCATTAATAAATACACAGAACATACATATTTTGTAATGTATTGGCAAACATTAATTTAAAAATTGTCAATAGTTTTAAATTTTACTTGTCTCCTTTTCAAAAAAATAATGAATGATTTTATAAAATTATCTATAAACCCAGCATTTGTACTCCA